ACCTTTTGAATATTATTGGGGCTAATATCCTTGTTGGTGAGAAATAGTAAAGAGCTCCAGAGCATGAAGTTGGGGTGTGTAACCCATAGTTTTTCTACGTCTATCTATCTATTAAATGAGGAAAGAACGAGTGGCCCACAATATCTGCAGACAATGCAAACAGAAAGTGAAAGCACCCACCCACTTCATGACATACTTTCTCTACAATCCACAAAAGCCAACAGCCTGACCTCCACAATGTCAGTTCCTTGGATGAACATGTCCTTCTACAACTTGGTCTCATAAGTGGTTATTTACTAAAATTGGTGAGTGCAAAATCTGGTGCAGCTCTGCATAGAAACCAATCACTTCCAGGTTTTATTGTCAAAGCTTAACTGAACAAGATGAAGTTAGAAGCTAACTAGCTACCATGCTTAGCTGCACCAGATTCTGAGTGCAACCATTTTAGTAAATCTCCCCTACAGAGTCTCCAACAGACCGACCTCTGACTCTGAGATTCAAAACAAGTATGACATGTCCAAAATGGTTTTCTTTCGTGACATGCAAATTGGCATTCCACTCGAAACACACCAAGTCACCATCTTTCCCAGATCTGACGCCTTTCAAATGGCTTTCCGAAAAAGGTCCATCTTCCAAGGGCTTAATCTCTAATACTTACAAAATGATCATTAAAAAAAATAATGTATGCAAATGAAAAAAGCTGCAAGTGAGCATTTAATATACTTGATTTTATCACGCTTTTTCCACAAATTTTTATAGTTGTAACAGTTTCTAATTCATAATTATTAAAGGATCCAGCAATAGCTGAACACCCATACAAATCCCGACATTTCCTTCAGCCAACTGTACCTGGCCCTGCCTCCTGAACATCACCATTGGTTAGCAATGCCTAACTCATAGCTGGAGATCATGCTTGACCGTTACAGGGAATGTTTAGATCTGTATAATAACTTAGGCTGCTCATGTAGGGATCTACCGATTATGTATTATTTTAACACGTAGTATGAATTGCCTAGTTTTATGTAACATTATAGAGGAGTCCTGGACTACCATTTTGAAAAATATAATAGAACTATGTGCCATTACAAGTATTTGCTCTCCTTCACTCAGCCATCTGCACATGCTTCCACTGCCACCCTCAGTGGCTAACAACAATTAATAGGGGGTACTTGTCATTATAGCATTGCAAATCAGCTCAGGTTTGTTCGATCATGAAAGCTGATACCGGCCTATTTGTGATTGATATTGAAAAGCAAAATTAAGCTGTATTTAGGTTTATCTAGGCTGATCTCATTACAGTACTAGGAAACCCCTACAACATGTAAGTACAACCTACTGGTCTCCCAACATACTATATTCATTCTAAAAACATATGGTCCCCATTACATTCTGAAAGAATTATATGGTATATGTACACTTACATACTATTATATGTATTTACACTGGAATCTGTCCCTTAATGTAATAAGGTTTAATGTCCTAGGAAGGATATACAGAGATTTTAACGTGTTGCCACTGTCATAGAATGTTTTTCCATTCCTAGATTGTCCCTGCTGGGTTCACACTTTCATAAAGTTAGGGAATCCATATGTGAAATACACAGCAGCCAAGCATTCTAAGTCAGGGTTATGCACTGCATCAAATTAAAGTATAAATAAAGTCAAAACTTTTTTTTCTAAATTTTGGACAGAGGCTAAGGATATTGTTTCCCTGGATGGAGAAATTTGGCAGGCTACTCTGGAACAGGTTTCTCTTTCACCATCCCAACGGTTATCACAGCTTTTTATTATACATTGAGTGCACGGAATGCCATATAGGTTATATCAATGGTATCGCAGGGAGAGTTTTTAAATGGAGAAACTTTAGAACCTCTGTCAAGTTTCATTCACCATCTCTCCAATCCTCTGAATTTTACCCCTTGCTGCTTTTCTTGGTGCCACCAAAAAGTTTTGCCTAGCGTTTCATTTGAAGTAAAACTGAATACCTAATTGTTATTAAAACCTAGAGAAAGATATAAGAAGGCATTAAGTGGTATATTTCTCCAACTGCTACCAAAAAGACTGAAAGAGTATTGGTAGTGTAGACTAAGGCTATAAAAAATTGTCAAGAGGTCTATTACAGAATATACAATAGAAACAATGTTGATAAGCATTATTTGTTTACAGATGTAATACAATATATTGTTCAAAGTGCTTTCCTTTTATAAAAATAGAAGCTCAGCCTGGGTTATTCAGTAAAATAAAAGCCATTGCAAGGAATGCAGTAATCCCATAGCCATCTGTATTTTGCACTGATCTGATGTCAGGAATTATTGCTTACTGCACTCAGATATACTCCACACTGACAGGCAACATGTAAAGAAAACTTCCAGGAGCTAAAGTGGTTCTAAAGTTAGATGTTTTTTTTTTTAACCTTAGTGCATTCTCTGCATTAAAGTAAAAAAAAAAAAAACTATGTGCAGCTCCCCCCCTCCCAGCCCCCCTTATACTTACTTGAGCCTGATTTCAATCCAGCACTGTGCACAAAAGCAGCGTCTCTCTCCTCACTCGACAGGCAGCAGCGGGAACCATTGGCTCCTGCTGCTGTCAATCTGCCAGTGAGGAGAGAGTGGGCGGCGGGCAGAGTCGCACTGTGTGTGTCAATGGACACACACAGCATAGCTCAGGAGATGGCCTGCATGAGATTGCCCCCATACCAAGCAGCTTGCTATAGGGGCACCGGTGGGGGACCCCAAAAAAGGAGCATCTGAGCTTCTCTAGATAAGTATATTTATTTTATTTATTTTTAATGATTCTTTACAATCCCGTTAACGAATTTGAGTATAAGTGTTGTGTTTATGAAGTGACGTTGCCTTAACACAAAAGAAGAATTATCTTTACTTTTTTTTTACATTGCTCTGCAACACCCCCATGGGACAAGTATATGTAGTACTTTGTCCCATGTAGCTACTGTAGGTGCTTCCTAAGTCTAGGTATGAAGTCTGACCTGTCCCACGCCTGAAAAATACAACCACAGCTTGGATGAAAATGGATCCATTGTAGGAAGAACCTGTATACAGTAGATATAAAAAGTCTACACAACCCTGTTAAAATGTCAACAATCTCCCGTATTCTTCATATGTCTGGGCTATGGGGTAGAGTGGCAAGACAGAAGCCTTTCCTTATGAAGAAAAACATCGAAGCCTGGATATATTTTGTAAAAACACATCTGAAGTCTCCCAAAAGCATGTGGGAAAATGTGTTATGGTCTGATGAAACCAAGGTTGAACTTGTTGGCCATAATTCCAAAAGATATGTTTGGTGCAAAAACAACACTGCACATCACCAAAAGAACACCATACCCACAGTGAAGCATGGTGGTGGCAGCATCATGCTATGAGTCTGTTTTTCTTCAGCTGGAACTGGGGCCTTAGTCAAGGTAGAGGGAATTATGAACAGTTCCAAATACCAGTCAATATTGGCACAAAACCTTCAGGCTTCTGCTAGAAAGCTGAACATGAAGAGGAACCTCATCTTTCAGCATGACAACGACCCTAAACATACATCCAAATCAACAAAGAAATGGCTTCACCAGAAGAAGATTAAAGTTTTGGAATGGCTCAGCCAGAGACCAGACCTGAATCCGATCAAAAATCTGTGGGGTGATCTGAAGAGGGCTGTGCACAGGAGATGCCCTCGCCATCTGACAGATTTGGAGTGTTTTTGTAAGGAAGAGTGGGCAAATATTGCCAGACTATAACTTGATACTAACATTTATAGGTAAAGTTGATCCAGGGAATATCCGATTGCCTCTCGGGGGATCAGGAAGGACATTTTTTTTCCCAGCAAGTGCAAATTGAATCATGCTTTGCTGGGTTTTTTTTGCCTTCCTCCTGGATCAAGTGTGGGTAGAGGATTATAACTTTTTTTTTTTTTTTTTTTCTATGGTTGAACTGGATGGACTTTTGTCTTTTTTCAGCCAGACTAACTATGTAAGTCAAGATGTGCCATGCTGATAGACCCATACCCAAAAAGACTGAGTGCTGTAATAAAATCAAATGGTGCTTCAACAAAGTATTAGTTTAAGGGTGTGCACACTTATGCAACCATATTATGTTAGTATTATTTTATTTTTTACTTCCCTCCACCTAAAAGAATTCAGTTTGTTGTTCAGCTGAGTTGTACAGTTTATAGGTTACATTAAAAGGTGGAAAAAGTTCTGAAATGATTTATCTTTGTCTCATTTTTTACATCACAGAAACCTGACATTTTAATAGGGGTGTGTAGACTTTATATCTACTGTATATGGAACAAAGGACTACATGGAAATTGTCCTATTGGGGGAAGAACAATGTAAAATGTAGCTCTTCCTTAAAGTGGTATTAAAAAATGACATATGTATGTAGTCTGGCTCTAGCAATAACAAAGCAGTGTTTGGTATCTAAGTTCCCACTGTATCCTAGTTTTTTTTTTTATACCTGTTGACCCCGCTGTTATTTTTAAACTTACTTTAAAAAGACCAAACTGTGCAGCAAAAAGTAACAGAATTTTTTCTTACAGGGCTCAGCGTTTATTTCGTTAAAACCATTACCCCAAAAAGAAATAAATAACTTTTGCTGTTAGCTGGAGTGTGGCTTTCATTTGTTTGCCGTCTAAGTCCATCCAACACTATCCTCAGACAATGCTGATGTCCAAGGGTGGCTCTGTTGCTACTCCATAGACTGCAGCCATACTAAGACAAGAAGGGTGTTACTATCCAGATTATCTGTAGAAAATAAAGTTTAATAACCAAAAAAAAAAAAAATTTAAGCTGCCACCATATCTAAGGATTCTAAAACTGCAACATATAAAGTACTTGTTTTTGGGGTACTATTTCTTCTCTGTAAAAGTCTTCAGTAACCATTTCTGAGAAGTTTCTAAAACATATCTGTGCATTATTCATTTGTATAGTACCCAGTTCACCAAAAGAATTAGTGATGTTTCATCCAATCATTTTGGATAGTCACCTTTAATTCAAAGAAGTTACATGCTCTGTACTTCAATTCCTTTCACACCTTCCAAGTCTACTGTGTAGTAGCAGGTAGCTTGTGGAACATGGGGTGCAAAGATGACTTCCATTATCCGTAAAATGCAGCCTATAAATGGAGGAGGAGCCTCGTGCTGTGTCCGTGCCACCATGAGTCTCATTAGAAGCTGGTTTGACCAAGAAATCCCCAAGGATGGTAGCATCTTTTTATCCTGCAAACTAAAAGTATACAAATGGGATGTATATCAAACAGGGGACATGAAATGGCATAAAAGTGAAAAAAAATGCTTACAAACAGACTCGTGGGGGGGATGCAGCCTACCATCCTAAAACTGAGCTTGTGCATTTACAGTCCCGTGTGTTCCTTGGTTCAAGCACCACCCATAAACACACACAGCCTACAACATGAGAGAGGCTATACAAGCCCCCGAGCTGTGAAGAAAAGCTCTGATGCAGTATATTATACCTTATAGAACTCAGATTTAGTTTATAGTGGAATTTAACTCTCAAAAAGGAGTTAGTTCTGCTTTAATACTGCCCCCCCCTCCTCTCAGCAGATTTGCAGGTATTTTTAAAACACTCTCTTTATTTTTTTTAGCCCCATCCCCCACCACCACTCCGGCCTAGGCCAGTTTGATGAGTACCTGGTCCCGCAGCCTCCTGGGATGCTTATATCACATTTTCCAGGAGGCTGCAGGACTGGAACACCAAGCAGCCAGGAGGTGGGTTCACCGCATCACTGGAGCTGACTGCCTGCACCCGGAAGAGGCAGTCATCTGAAGACGACAAGATGGTGGCACAAAACCCATTGTGTGGAACTTGATTACAACGGGACACTGCTGAATTTGCTGTGCGTGTATGTGTTTTTGAAAAGCACTACAAGTAAAAAAAAGCATGGGGGGGGGGGGGGGGGGGGGGGGGGGGGGGGGGGGGGGGGGGGGGAGTTTGGTATTGCTAGCTTAGTTACAATAGTTCCTGGATAGCAGTGCACACACTAGATCACTGGGAGAGGAACTGTATACTCTATCATTTACATGCCTAGAGAGGGCAAAGTGACCATGTATGTCTATACCAGCAGTGGGGATCTTACCCAATATGGCTCAGCACAGAGCCTGCTTCTTTCACGGCATCTGTAACCTACAAATAAACACGAAAGCTACAGTCAAACACAAGCTAGGTTCTCTTTTTCATCTACCTATAATACACTAGAAAAGGAGCCTGTAACCATTTCACAGGGTGGGTATATACATTTTTTTTTAAAAGTGTAACTCCAGTTAAAACCTCTTATTTTGGAGAGACTGTAGAAATGCTTTATCCAACATTGGTTCTGTACTGCCTGTGGCCCTACAAGGGAAATTTCCCTTAACTTCCTGTCCTAGAATGACCAGCAGGGCCCTGCTCACCAGCAAACCTACTTTAGAAGTTATTGACTCACTGAAGTCCATACTACTGGTATCAGAAGTCAACTCTGAATAGAATTTATGTACGTAAACCCTCCTTTCCCTCTTGTATTGAACTGTATTGTCACCTGTTATATTGTAAAGCGCTGAGCAAATTGTTGCCACTATATAAATCCTGTATTATAATAATAATGTACGTGCACTCCATAAACAACCACCAAGAGAAGACATTCAGCTCTGGTGGTCACTGTAGGACTGAAGGTGGTTGGGAAGTATCTCTGGGGTCACTGATTTAAAAGAAGGGCGACAAACGATCAAACTCTTGTACACTTTCACCAAAATTAAGAGGAGTTATGTTTTTTAAACCAAAAATGGATATACTGAATACCTGATTAATGCAGAATACAGGAGTTGTGAAGTCTCGGCTTAACTGGTGGAGTTTGGCCCCAATCATCTGAAGATGTTTCGCTTTGACAACAGCATCCTTTGCAGCAAATTCACAGCGAAACAAAGCAGCGATAGAGTCTATGATGATCAGACGGACCTGACCTCTGAGCAGGAGGATGGGAAGCTTCTTGGTGATGCATTCAGTGAGCATGTCCTGCAAAATGACACATTCACTAGGTCTTTGAACATAAGTACAGATAATCCTTGATAAGGAGGGGGGTGTACAAAACAGCCACATAGTGCTGCAGTACAGCTGCACCCACTCAGAACACAAAGTTGTATAATAGCAACATGTTAAGAAAATAATTAGAAAACAACAACCATGGAAGCTATAATGTTAGAAGGCACAGCAAGTCTGTCCAAAAGCCATAAAGCAGGTATGTACCCTTGACTTGAAAAAAGACTGATATGTCTCAAAATGATACTATGCCAATGATTTATGCTACTTTTATCTTTAATGTGAGAAAAGAGCAGTTTTTGTAAAAAAATTTGGATGTGAAGCCCTTGGTGCAGGAAATCTTGCCATGAAAAAAAACATGTAAACACCACGTCTTTTTAAAATCAAAATGGAAATAAAATTGATCTATGCCATAAGTACAGTATGTGTACAATTAATAGCCTGAAGGTGCTTTGAAAGCAAACTTGTCATTACTTTTGAGGGTAAGACTGAACCTTTCTTATTTGATCCCTTTTGGTCTGCTAAATATACCATTCTGTTAACCAAAATGTGACATTCCCAGAATAACCGCGGTGTAGACCAATGGAAGTACGTCCCACAGCCATTCGCTTTCAAGCATGTAGTTATATTTTCTAACTTGCAGTTGCCTGGGTCACAGACTAATTGACTCAGTCTTTATTGAGTAGTAGAATAAATACCATGTAAGTGCGTTGCGCTGTTGGCAGAAACTGAGTGACAGGAACCTGGAGCAGCTGATTAACATCAAATTTTGAAATCAAATGAAAACTGGCAAAAGTGTGAGTGAAACTTTAGCTCTGTTACAACAGCCTTATAGTGAACATACCATGAAGAAATCAAGTGTTTTGAATGGCATAGGCAGTTTAAGGAGTAGAGGGAAGAGGTTAACGATGACGCAAAAAGTGGGAAGCCAAAAAACGCAAAGGACAGATGCACATGTGGACAGAGAATGATGCGTTAAGTGTTCACCAGTTCCTGGCCCAGAAACCCATTCTAAAACTTGACCAACCACCTTATTCTCCTGACTTAGCACCGTGTGACTTCTGGCTATTTCCAAATCGAAAAAATGTCACAGTCCATTCCGGGAATTAAATTGTCACACCCTCATATGTTTGATAAATGCATAAAAAACATGTTGACATTTCTACATATCTTCATGTGTTTTTTGCCTTTGTAGATATCTCTAAGGACTACAAAACACCTTACCCCTGTGTATGGAGGAGAGGTGTTTTGTAGTCCTGTCCTAGGGTGACAATACTGCTACTTCATAGATGCAATTTAGCCAATGATCACTATCACCCTACGACAGGAGGTATGTTACTGGCAGGATCACAAAAAAAAAATTAAGCCACTGCATCTAAAAGTTGGTAGGAAACAATATATTTTTATTTGTTCTTGGGTTTAGATATGTTTCAAACAGATGCAAGTACCTTCACAAAAGCCTCAGGAACCCCAAAACCTGAGGATTACATGATATGTGGATCTTAACAATTGCCAAGAGAGTCAGGGGCTTACCCCCTTCTGCAAATTCATCTTGGACATGAAGGCAACCTATCCCAGTGAAGAACCAATAACAATCTGCGGGAAGCAGATGGGAGCGGGCCAGCATCTGACCCTTTTAGGAAAATTATGCAGATTGTGATTCTTCCTTTCTATTCAGCATGTTTGTTCCATGCCAATAAATGTAGAGACAGCCAGGCAATATGTACAATATATAGATAAAAGAATGTGGACACACCACCAAATGGTTGTGTTTAGGTCTTTCCAGACAAGGGTACTGTTAAAAGAGAAGTATGTCCCCCCCCCCTCCCCCAAATTACACTTCTGACACTCGCCAGCCGCTGAGTTCTCACCACCGCTGTGAGCAGAGACTGTCAGTCACCGCTGTCTGCTCTGCCACCCCCCCCCCCCACCACCACTCATGCTCACTGGAGTGCTGGGCTGAGAGCCTCAGCCAGCTGCCGCTCCAGACTCTGGGGTGAATCCTGACTTTAAAGTCGGGATCTTTCCCCAGCATGGACAGGCTGAGTGACTTCAACCCGCTGTCAGATGAAAACGGGAGAACCTGGATGAATTTCAACCCATCTATGGCCGTTCCCGCTAAAGAGAAGTCAATCTAACAAACTGCTTCTCTCAATTAGGAATGTTGGAAAGTTCTTGTTCGATCAGCACCACAACCAATCGGCTGCAGCATTGATCAGTGTACTCTGACAACAGAGGAGTCCTGCTGTCAGAATACAATAGCACAGCGGGGAGGATTCCTCCATCCACTTTGCTTGTGAAAAAAAGATCCATCTATAGCCAGCTTTGGACAGACTAATAGATTTAGATGGACTTTACATAAGTGATTAAAGCCTAACTCCAGCTAAAAAAGGTTTTACATAAGTGAATTAAAACACATCCCTGTCCTCTACTGGTATGTTGGAATCTGGTAATGTTCAACATAATGGAAAACCACAGAATATCCATATATATGCTTCCTGAGTTCTACTCATTCAATATCATTGTAACTTACTATATCGGCCGCATGCTCAATGAAAATATTATCTCCAAATTGGATTTTGCGAACAATGTCTGCTGGAACATCGGTCCTCAGTCTGTGCTGAGACTTTATCAGCTGTAGGAGGCGCTTATTTGGGAAGGCGTCTTCTGTGCAGATGTACACAGCCCCTACATTAAAATATAATTGTCAGAATTAAAGGGAAGGTACGGTGTATTGTCAGTGAGAACAGATTTTGACATATTATTGCAAGGTTTACCTCAAAGCAATGCCTGACATTTAACATGCTTTCTCTTCCAGATTCATAGATTTGCCACAAGATGCAGAGTAGATGAGCTACTTCAATTACTACCTGCTTACCTACTGTTGAGATATGCTATTGGCTACACAAGGGTTGCATTGTTTTCAATTAGTCATCTGGCCCATTGACTTACATTATAATGAGCTGTTAGTCATCAAAATCATCTAATGCAAAACAGGGTTAGTTCAGTTGGGGAAGGGGTGGGGTGGGGGGGGGGGGGGTGTGTTGACCTGGATTTGCATTAGATGGATAAGATAAAGGTGGGCAGTCTGTAAAAGATGGGAGGGTATACAAAGGTGCAGATGTTTTGGCAGCCATTTTTGTTTACGTTTTCTGTGATCATTGGTTTGTAAATGTTTTTAAATTTTGGAACAGCTTTATGTTGATTATCCCTGATGAAGCCAAATAGTGGCAAAATGTTTGGGTTGTGGAGCACATTAAATTAGAAAATGATTGCTCCAACTCATGTTTTCATTTTCTGAAATAAGGAAAAGAGTAAAGAATCAGTATGGGTCCCCCAAGATCTTTTTTCCTCACATAGTTAGTCTGGCTGAAAAAAAACAAAAGTCCATCCAGTTCAACCAAAAAAAAAAAGTTAGAATCCTACACCCACAATTGATCCAGAGGAAATAAAAAAATCCAGCAAAAATTGATCCAATTTGCTCCTGCAGAGCAAAAAAATCCTTCCTGATCCCCCGAGAGGCAATCGGATATCCCTGGATCAACTTTACCTATAAATGTTAGTATCCAATTATATTCTGTGTATCTAGGAAAGAATCCAGGACTTTTTTAAAGCAATCTACTGAGCTTGCCAGAACCGACCCTTGAGGGAGTCTATTCCACATTTTCACAGCTCTTACTGTGAAGAACCTTTCCATATTTGGAGATTAAATTTATTTTCCTCCAGATGTAAAGAGTGCCCCCTTGTCCTCTGTGATGACCTCAGGGTGAATAACTCTACACCAAGTTCACTATATGAACCACTGATGTATTTATACATGTTGATCATATCCCCCCTTATGTATTATACATGTTGATCACATCCCCCCTTATGTATTATACATGGAGATCATATCCCCCTTATGTATTATACATGGTGATCATATCCCCCTTATGTATTATACATGGAGATCATATCCCCCCTTATGTATTATACATGGAGATCATATCCTCCTTATGTATTATACACGGAGATCACATCCCCCCTTATGTATTATACATGGAGATCATATCCCCCCTTATGTATTATACACGGAGATCATATCCCCCCTTATGTATTATACACGGAGATCATATCCCCCCTTATGTATTATACATGGAGATCACATCCCCCCTTATGTATTATACATGGAGATCATATCCCCCTTATGTATTATACATGGAGATCATATCCCCCCTTATGTATTATACATGTTCATCATATCCCCCTTAATCTCCTCTTCTCAAGAGAGAATACATTCAGTTCCTCTAATCTTTCCTCATAGCTGAGCGCCTCCATGCCTCCTATCAGTTTGGATACTCTTCTGTGCACCTTTCTCCAGTTCCCCAATGTTCTTTTTGTGAATTGTTTCCCAAAACTGAACTGCATATTGCAGATGAGGTCTTACTAATGATTTGTACCGGGGTAATATGATATATCTCTCTCTCTGGAGTCTATACCTCTTTTAATACAAGAGAGGATTTTGCTCGCTTTAGAAACCGCAGCTTGGTATTGCATGCCATTATTAAGCTTGTGATCTACCGGAACTCCCAGATCCTTCTCCACCATCTTTTTCTCACCTCTTTAAAAGTTCAGGAATAAAGTGAGTGAGTGAGTTAATCTGAATGGGTGACTACAAAGGGACATATTGAGAGTGCATAATGAGTTGTAGACAAAAAATGGATGCAGACGTGGGATCTAATACTGTAGCTGCTGACTTGATATTAGGGCACTTACCGGTCCAGGAATCCAGCAGTGTCCTCACCCTGAGCAGATTCTTCAATCAATTGTTGGGTGCTGGCACTGTCTCAACTAAGGGAAACCGGCAGTGAAGTGGCTTCACAGCCAGTTTTCTACTGCGCTGTGCTTTGTGAACGGGCCGCAGATCTCTGGGACCTGTTGAGTTTCCCAGAGAGCTGCAAGGGGGGGGGGGATGAACGGTCAAAACCATGCAACCCCCCCTTCCCCCCCGAAAAGGTGCCAAATGTGGCAGCGGGGTGGAGGGCCAGATAAGCAGATCTTCCACTTTTGGGTGGAACCCTGCTTTAAACCTCTTCACGCTGGCGCCTCCCAGCCCTTTAAGGGGTTTCAGACTCCGGGAGGTGGGGCGGGGTCATGTGACCACCATGATTCACTGTCATGACGGTCACATGATTGGAAAAAGGTCCCTATCTCAAGGGGAGATCTGGATCTTTCCGTGAGACACTGACATATGTGCTGCGAGCGCGCAGGGCACGCGCTCTAAGCACATATGTGTTTCCAAATGGTCCGCAAATATGCAGGCGCTCGCCGTCAAGGCCCAGCTGCCGAGAGGCCGCATATTTGCGTACGGTCGGCCTCACGGGGTTAAAGAACACAACACACCCAATCGTATTACTGAAAGATGTTTTCACCGCATTTTTGAGTGGCCTGTTCAGATTTTGCACTGAGGCCCAGGGATAAGATGTCAGCTACGCAAAGTGTAATAAAACATACAGGTTATTGTTTCATCTCTTTAATGAAGTCTGAACTTTCCAAAATGACTCATAAATGTAGTTTTTTTTAAAAAAATTTAACACATCAATATATCTTACCTGCTCCAAGACCACCATAAGTTTCTGGGTACTGAACAGAAAGGCACAGCTGAAGGGCTATTTGAGTCTTCCCCGCGGAGCTCTCTCCCGCCAGCTCTGTAATGCCCACCAGGGGAAGTCCTCCTCTCAGCAGATTATTCAGAACTCCACATCCCAGGCTCAGCTTCTGGTGCTGTGCAGGGAATCGTGACTTCTCTGTATAAAGCTGAAAAGCTGTAATCCACCAAAATTATCAGAAAGATTCATGTCCCTTTAAAGTCAAACATGTGAAGGCATACAGGCTCTATAAAAATTTGAGTGGGTGGGTGGGGGTGGGAGAGGTATTTGAGATGCATTCCAGCTAGAATCACTACAATGGTGATATACATGGTTAGTTTAAAAGCCAATAAGAAACAAGCAGTAGCTCCAAGGTCATTCACAATGCATTGGTGTCAACACTATTTGCAAAAATGTTTGCATTCCTTTAAAGCATTAAACCATTTTTTATTTGCACATTTGCTATGTACCAACAAATTATCTTGAATCATGTGTCCCCCATGCTTGGATGGCTGATGTATTAGTTAGAACGCTTAATTTCATTCATGAACTGAAGGTACAGTAAGTGCCAAGTTTTCAGCCCTACAATTTACAGTTCTGGCTCTCATGCCCGGAACAAACATAATGAGGTAATTTATTGATACATGGAAAACATACAAAAATATGTTTGTTTCAGAGTTCAGCTTTAAATTCAGGGGTTTCCAGTGAAGGGTACTGCCAAAGCTGAACTCCAAATCAAGACCACTCATTGCTGCTCTCTCTCCTTGTGCAGGGTGTGTGGTCTTGTCTCCGCCCCCTCCTGTAGTTTTCTGCAGGAAGCCTGTAGAGGGTGGGGCCTGCAAGGTCCCTTCCACATCTATGCTGTCTGCACAGGCTGTATACAGCACAGTGTGATGTCACTGCTACCTTTACAAGATGATAACGGACCTTGCAAAAGGATCTGGTGCTCAAAAATCGATATCCTTTGTGGCTATTGAGGATTATATTTAAAAAAGCTTTTGTCCCTGGAGCTCAGCTTTAATGTTCCAGCATACATTTTAGGCAATGGTACACTCAGACCTTGTGGTAACAGTTTGGAGAAGTCCCTTTTCTGTTCCTGCAGGAACTCCTGTGCATAAAGTCATGGCTTGATGAGTTTTAGGTGAGAGAGTGGAAAGGCCTACACAAAAGCCCTGACCTGAACACCTTTGTGATGAATTGTAAAGCAAGCAAAGCCCTATATGAAGTAATGGAATGGGGAAAAGACAAAAACAAGGACAGCCCAGTCACAAAGCTTGCCAGAGTCATGTGATGGGCTCTTCTCCAATCACCAACATCTCTGATATAGAGCATGAATAGTAAAGAAAGGGCCAGGTGGAGGATGGAACCACCAAGTTGGGGCATGGATCATTGTGGGATCCCAGTCGTTTAACACCAACAGTGATAGAACCCTGGGTATTGCGGCACTTGGAACATTGGGCTGTTATATTTACATATACCAAACTAGTGGGAATTCACCTAGATTGGTCTACTTGTGATTCCAGTCCCTCCCAAGCATGTGAGTGGATGAATGGTGGGAGATACGGCTAGGAGCTTACAGATCAAGCTTTGACGGATTGTTTAGTACCGAGGATGCAGTGCAGATCCCCTGTTCTCCCAATGGAGTGAGGCAATTGTCTTACCCTATGTGCCCCCACACCGCACCTTGGACTCCTTTCCAAAGCTCCTGAAAAAGCGCATAGTTGCAAAACACATTGAGCCTATTGTAGGTTGTGGCAACTCCTGACCATAAAATACCATACACCAAGCATTCATCCATTATTACTACTAATGGTTGGGAGACCACAACAACAAATCTTTGGAAAGGCATTTAGATTTTGTTAATTGTGCAACACGTGTCTATTTTTAACTTTGTGATGAAGTCCTATATTTTGTGAATAAAACATGTAAAATTTTAACTTAGTTTGAGGTGCCTATAAAGTCCATTTATTCTTTACTATTCATGCTCTAGTTGTTATTATTATATAGTATTTATAAAGCACCAACAGTTCGCTCAGCGCTGTACATTACAAAGGGAGACAGAACATGCAACAGTACGATAACAATACAATGTGATACACGAGGGGTTCGAGGCGTTAAATTAGGAGGGGCACATCTGTGTAATTATATGTCCATGGTGCAACCCTGTGGTGACACATCTACCTTTTTAACATATCTGATATATCTCAGGCATCATTTTAACTGTCCCTCTCTTTTTCTGCTTTATTTTTGATCATCTATCCTTCAAGTGACACTTTTTTACATACATTATTCTAAAATATCAAGTATGCCATGGCTCTTTTTTTTTTGTTTATTTAAAAAGTCCCTTACTGTAGTTTTCAGGCTTCTTTTTTGTTCTGTGCACGCTCTGGATCCTCCACTGATGCACCTCGCCACTACTAGTGTAAAGGGAGCAGTGCCGTTATTTCTGGTCACATGCTCTGCTCTTTGCGTACTACAATTCCCATTTAACTCTTCCCTGCTCCATCCAAACTATAAAAAGATCTCCTAACCTTCATACTCATAATCATGCATTTTGGGTATTCATACTGCACATATGCACAGCTGTTTCTGGAATCAAGGTATTGACATGACTTTGACTGACAGGTTTAGCCTTTGTAATGTACAGGACACCTTTCATCTCCCAGGTAGCTGTTCAGGATGATGTAGACTACCATGTGAAAACACTGTATAGCTTGAAGAAAGCTCACTCTGTTGTTAAACTGGTTCTAAAGGCTGAAGGTTTTTTATTATTATTATTATTATTATTATACAGGACCTATATAGCGCCGATAGTTTGCTCAGCGCTTTATCTTTATCTTCATTTATTCTAGGCACAAAGGTAAAAAAAACCTTCTGTGTGCAGCTACCCCTGCAGCCCCCCTTAATACTCACCTAAGCCCTATCTAGCAATATGCACAAGAGTCAAGGCTATCCTGGGTCACTCTCTCCCCATTGGCTGAGACACAGCTTGTCAGAGATGCGGGTGTGACCAGAAGTGTGTGGACTGACACAGGGAAACGCAAGCTTCAGATATGGTATAAATAAGACAATTTATTAAGACTAACAATACAAACATAAACGCAGTGCACCAAACCCCAAGCTAACACAAATACATACAACAAGGTGAAACAAACCCAAACCTAAACTGATACAGATACACAAGTACATACACATATAGAGCACAACGTAGTCAGGCAAGCCGGGTCGATAACTATCGGGCAGGTAGGTACAGGAGGAGCAGGTGGAGAGAATGGTCAGGGTCACAAGCCAGGGATCAAACAGGAGAAGTCAGCAGAGGTCAGGATCAGGCAGAGTCGGCAACAAGTCAGGCAGAGGCAGAAACAGGAACGCAGGTTACAAGATACAGGGGCCCATGGAAAAACACACACCAAGGCACAGACTGCAGGTCTGGCCATCCCTTAAATACACCTGCAATCAGCCCCAGGTGATGGCTAATTGCCGAAGTGAACCTCTGGTTGTTGAGAGCACCCGCTGGCCAGCCCTGATACTGCAGCCCACAAGGCAGGTGAGTCCCACCACTATTGGCAAGTCCATTCCTGACACAGCTCCTGCCAATCACACCCATTGAGGAGGAAGCAGGAGGCAGGGCTAAGCCATGCTCTGTGTGTACCATGGACAAGCAGAGGCGGCTCGGGAGCAAGCACACACAAGCCATTGCACAGAGCAGGTAAGTATGATGTGTTTATTATTTAAAAAAAAACAAAACCTTTATAACCACTTTCAGCCCTGGTTCACACTGATGCAGTGCAGAATTCGCAGCGTTTTCTGTGCAAATTCTGCACCGCATCAGAATCACACCCCGTTCATGCAAACCGCTGCGGGTGTGTATGTTAAGTTAACAACACCCCAAAAGCGGTACGCAAAATGCGGTATGATGTGCAGAATCAGATCGCATAGGTGTGAATACCCATGCGATCCGATTTTAGTGCGGACCAAAAAAAGGGTCCTGCACCTTTTTGGTGGAGGCGCGGTGCGATTAGAGCCATACAAATTGTATGGCTCCAATCATACTGCACACAAACAGCATGTGCGTTGCACAGGAATTTGTTGCGCTTCCTGTGCAAATCACATGCGATATACAGCACCGCATATATGTGAACCCAGCCTCAAGCTGAATTTGTTCCACAATACTTTTAAATAAACAGTTGCAGATGAGTTACCTGTAAGTGCTGGATGTTTCTGCAGAGCTGCACCTGCTGCTTTCTGTAAGTCATAGATGTCAGTAACGGAAAGCTGGGTCACTTTCTGTAAGTCCCCAATGGAGAAAGTAAGAAGGTCTTTGGCAGACTTGATGTTTGCTGAAAAAAAGACGTGTCATCAGTGGCCAGTATTTCTAAATCACACTAGAGACTGTGTCGGTGGGTTTGCGTTAAAGAATAAGTTCACCTTTGGAACATGTAACATTTTCCACCCGTTTTTAGGATGTAACATGTTCCCATAGCTGTAGCCGCGCCCGCCCCCCCCCCCCTCTGACTGATAATACAGCCGCGTCACACATTCACAGAGTTCTGCCTTAGCCTTAGCGGCTGTGGGATTGTAGTTATTTATTTCAGGTACTTATATAGTACCATCAATTTACGCAGCACTTTACATATATATTGTACATTCACATCAGTCCCTAACCCTCAAGGGGTGTACAATCTAAGGTCCCTAACTTACATTCATACACATATTAGGACCAATTTAGTCAGGATCCAATTAACCTACCAGCATGTCTTTGGAGTGTGGGAGGAAACCGGAGTACCAGGAGGAAACCCACTCATGCACAGGGAGAACATGCAAACTCCAGGTGGTGCCGTGGCTGGGATTCGAATCAACGACCCTAGTACTGCCAGGCAGAAGTGCTAACCATTTAGCCAATGTGCTGTGGTAGTTTTCAATGAACTACCATGGCACAGTGGAGCACCGTGGTACTTCATTGTAGCTTCCTGTCAGTATATGTGCTTGCTCATACATCCAGTATGGCAAGCAGATAGTCTGACAGGTCTGCAGGAGACCTGCATGGCATCAGTGATCTACTGATTGCTGGTGCAATGCTTTACAGGCTCCTGCAGACAAAAATAATAAATGCACATTTTTTTACTTGAAAAAAAAATGTGCAGTTATTATTTTTGTCAAAAAGGTGAACTTATCCTTTAAAAA